GTGAGTGCGCGCCGGGGGCGGGGCCGCAGGGCGAACTTGGGGAGCCGGAGAGGAGCAGAAAGTGCCCTGCACGGCCCTGGGCTCCCTGCGGGGACCCGGCGGCCTCGGTGTCCCGCTGGACACTTACTGAGTTCGCCTGACAGGTGAATAACGACCCGAATGCGCTTCCTTCTCTAATCCAGCTGAACTTTGTCAAGAATTTATTTCCAAACGGCTTGCGTTTCTGGACACACGAAAACAGCACTTGTCACTGGCCAGCCGCCCTCGGACCTGCTGTGGGCACCCTCGGTGGCCGCCTCCTCTGAGACAGCGCCGCTCCCCGCAGGTGTCCTGGCCGCGCACCTTCCGTGGCAGCCGCGCGTGGCCTGGGTTGTCAGGTCAGAGCGGGAATGCATTACTCAGCGCTGCCACCTCACTCTGCTGTGGCTGTTTCTTTCATAATTAATTACTCGGTGACTTATTTTTGTTTTTAAAGCATCCGAGATTAATGACATGTCCTTGTGGCATCTGCTGTCAGAAGGTGTTGGGGAACCTGGAGCCAGCGGGTTCGGGAAGCCCCGCCCAGTACTGGCCGCCCCTGTTTTCAGGTGTGTGTGTGTTCTTGCACCTGCTTGTGCAACCCATGGATAAGCCCAGGGCTGCTGACCCTAAAAACATGGAACGCCACGTGTACAGGCCCAGCAACCTTCAAAATACTCCACAGCAGCCCAGCCTGGCCTTTGTCCTGTGGCTCGGCACACAGGGCTGTGAGATTAGAAAACCCAGGCCTCTGGCTGCAAACGAGCAGGGACCCAACTTTCAGGTTCACGGCCTGAGCTCTTGGAGGGAGTAACTGTAGCCCAGGTGAAAGAAGGCCAAGGGGCCAGCTGATTCGTGGGTGCCTGGAACTGCTGCCCCAGCTGTGCACAGCTGGACGTCCCCCGAGGCCTGCCCAAGCCCCTCCCCTGGGGCAGACACAGATCTGTCTCTCTGGAAGCTGTGGCAGGCTGTGGGCCAGCGGCCCGCCCCCATGCGAGTCCGGTCCTTGTTCTCTCCTGAGGGTTTGAGCAGATGGTGGTGAAGGACCCGCAGGACCCTGGCAGGGGCTCAGGCCCGAGATGGGCCCGGAGCAGCGGCCTCCCTTCTGCAGCTGGGGTTCCCCCTTGGCTTCCCAAAGCCCACTGCTGGCCTGAGCTAGAGGGCTTCAGGCTCCTCTTGCCCGGAGGGCCATCCCACAAGGAGCTGAGGGCCTGGAGGAAAACCTTTCACCTGACCACTCCCCGCATCTTTGGAGAGCAGGGCTTTGTGTTTGATGAGGGGAAGCAGATTTGGCTCCAGAGCATTTCTCTGTCCTTTCTCTTCGCTGGCCACACACACCTGTTTCAGACATCATTTTCTCCAGAGTGGCTGGCTGGGAGCAGCACTAACGCGCTGGGTTGAGCTCCAAGCTGCCCAGAGTCCCCTGTGGTATTTTAAAAAAATTTTTTGAGACAGGATCTCCCTGTGTAGTTCAGGCTGGCCTCGAATTCACTCCATAGCCCAGGCTGGCCTCTAATTCCTGGTGATCCTTCTGCCCGTCTCCCAGGCGCTGGGGTGCTCCTGTGGTATTTTTTCGTGGTTGTGGATCTGTTCTGTGGTGTGGCTTGGTGTGGCCTGCTCTACTTTCTCAGCCTGGCAGTGCTGCCTGATCTAAATTGAAATGGAGGGTTCTGCAAGCAGATAGGATCTGGTAACCACCGTGCCGCCCTCCTGGCAGGCAGGCAGTGTGGGTGGGCAGGTGCTATTGGTTGCCCTCGCCCTGGCACCCACGCTGGCCTACAGGAGTTTCTCTTGCCCTCCTCTCTATCGCACTAATCCCCGATTAGGGCTCCCACTCCCAGCTGCTCTTGGCCCAGGGAGCTCAGCTGAGTGTCTGCCCTGCCCCCTGCCTGTGCTGGTGTCCCTTGGCCCTGCCCGGTGGGTGATCATGATGCGGTCATCCCTTCCGTCTCCCACGGAAAGTGGGATTTTCCAGCCAGTGGAGCAGTAACACCTCCCGTCCTCGGTTTCACCCCGGCTTTGTGTCCTGAGGTAGAAAGGAGTCCTACGCCTTCCCAGCCAAGCCCCCAGACTCGCTGAGGTCAGCTGGGCCCAGCCGGCCTCTTCCTGGTCCGTCCTCCCAGAGCTGTGTTCCCCATGGGAAGCGAATTGGACTCTGAGACCCAAATGTTTCCTTTGAACGAGTTCCAGCGAGAAGGCTAAAGGGTAGCGCTGCTGGACGCAGCATCCTCCACGTTGGCTCTCCCGCCTCCCGGGATCTATGGGTGGAGTGATGACCGGTGACCAGAGCCGTGCAGGTTCCCCATGTCCGAGGGGACCCCGGTTTCCAACTCGCACTCTGGAAATGATCCTGAGGCCAACAGCACAGAGCGGGACACAGGCGAGAGTGCTGCCGATCTGTCTGCCTGTCCTTACCGGAGGCCTAGACGTCCGCGTGCCCCCTGCCACCCAAATCCACACTCAGGGCGTGGGCTGGCAGGAGGTGGGCACCACAGAATGGCCCGGGGCTCCCGAAGGACCAAGGAGCCAGGGCCCATGTCCCCGACGGCCCCGGAGGCCTGGCCACCCTTTCCGTGGCTGACTGCTGCTTCCCTGGCGGACGCTCTCCAGACCACACATCAGAGGCGGCGAGGGTCCCGGGCCTTGCTGTCACTAGTCCTGTGCGTTGTCACCTCGTGCCCCTCCCCAGGCCCGGATGGCAGAGGCCTGTGCCAGGAGAGCCCCCAAAGCTGTTGGGTGGTGTCTTTCAGCCCAGGCTTTCTTCGGGTGGATGTGCTAAATGCAAAGGACGCCGGGCATCATGGCACACGGCTGTAACCCCAGCACTCAGGGAGGCTGAGGCAGGAGGATCACCCCGAGTTCGAGGCCAGCCTGGGCTACAGAGTGAGTTCAAAGCCAGTGACCAAAACTATCAGACAGCTTGTGTTCTTAGTGATAAAAAGGTGCCGTGTGAACCTAGGATGTGTTATGAGTGGCGCCGGCTTGCGTGTATTTCTGCAACTTAGAGTCAACAGGATGGCCACAGGCTGAGGTCTTTCCACCCCACATCAGCTTCCCAGTAGTGCTTACAAAGACCCAAGCTCCATGCCCGAACAGCCACTGTGGCCGTGGTAGAGTGGCCATCTTGGGTGAGGCCTGACTGCTCTCCCCGGGGTGGGGAGGTGGGTGTGGGGTTCTGCGCAGCCCCACAAAGGCCCCCCAGGGGTGCCCTTTGCAGCTCACACCTTCCGGGCTCTTTCCAGCACAGGACTGTCCCTGAGGCGCTCCGTAAGTCCTGGGAGCGCTTATCTTTTCTCCTTGTTTAACCTCTCGTGATCTGGGCTCCGATCTTTTCTCCTTGTTTAACCTCTCGTGATCTGGGCTCCGAGGTGCCGGCCCTGTCCTGTGAGGCTGGCACCTGCCCTCCGCACTGTCCTGTCGGAGCTAGACCTGTGTCCAGCCCTGGCAGGCTCTGATCGTCGGGCCGATGGAGGGGACGAGCAGTAGCCGTGCCCGTCCCGCTGCCTGGACGCTGGCCTCCCTGGACAGAGCGGGCTGCTCCGGGTGCTGTCTCTGACTCTCAGGAATGGGCTGGGAGGAGCTGGCCGGGACTGCAGCGTCAGCGTGAGGCAGGGAGCCACCAGCTCGAGCGCTGGCGGGAATTCAGGAAAGAGCAGGGTCACCACCCAGCAGGATCCACTCCGGCCAGTCAGGAGGTCACCGAGGAGGGAAGGAGGCCTGGCTGTATGCAGGAGGGGCACTGCAGCCCTGCCCTCGGCTAGCCGTGTGATCCTGGCCAAGTCCTGACTCCCCGTGCACCCGTGAGGTCCCGGGGAGTCCAGGTCCACTTGGCAGGTGCCTGCTCCCCAGAGCAGGGAGGGCCTCAGTGTGTGTCATCTGCAAGACGCCCGCATGGTACAAGTGCAGGCTGCTCTGCTACGGTGCCCTTTAAAAACTTTATTTTGAGCTGCTTGTAGATTTGCAGAAAGAGTGAAAAGATAATTCAAAGGGTTTCCATGTATTCTTCAGGCGGCCTTCTGTAACAAACAATTCAGTAATCAGAATCAGTACTCTGGAGGCTGAGGCAGGAGGATCACCCAGACTTCAAGGCCAGCCTGGGCTACGTAGGGAGACCCTAGCTCAGAAAAAAAAAAAAGACCCAACCAAGAATTAGCATCGATGTAGTGTTACTAAAAGCCATGACCCAGGGAAACAAACATTGTAGCAGGATAAGAAGTTAACCTTGGAAAGGCCTGGGATTCTGCTCAGTGGCTCCACTGCACAAGGTCCCAAGTTCGAACCCCATACCAAAGAGAAGAAGAACAAAGAGAAGTTAACCGTGGTACAGTGTTGCTATAATCCAGAGCCCAGGGGTTAACTCTGTCACAATGCCTTCAGTAACTAAAAGTAAAGAGCTCCCCCTGTGTTCCCAGGGTGCTGCGCTCACTTGGTTCTGAGCCCCCTGCCTCTGCTAGTGAGTTTGAACGTTCCTGGAGCTGCTGAATGTCCTTCCCCGGGCCTGGTGTTTCCCTGTGATTGGACCTAGGTTGTGCAGGCCCCGAGAAGGCCCTGACGGCATCATGCCAAGGCCCCAGAAGCTTCTGACTCGGGAGGATTTCCGTTTCCTCTGCCGGCGAGGCTCCATGCTGCCTGCGCCTGCGTTAGGAGCTCTGGGTGCTCTGTGTTCCCCACCGCCCGGCGCCACACAGTTCAGGGTGCGGAGGTTCTGGGCTGGTTTTACCATCAGGCAGGGCGGTCACCCTTCTGTGTCCCCTTATCCGGGCTACTGAGCACTTCCTGCCACGTCCTTCTGCGTGTGGCTCCGTCTCTTCTGCCTAGAGAGGCCATGGAGGAGGCGCCCCCAGGCCTGGCAGATGGGGTGGGGAAGTGCAGCATCCTTGTTTCCGTTTACCTCCATAATTTCCTCCTTTGCTAAGAGCTCCCTTCACGTGAAAGTTCCGTGCAGCATCTCTGGGGTTTGAACCTGGATGGGCCGGCAAGTGGGAGCGTGGGAGCGTTTCTAAGCCCGCATCTGGATCCAGGTGTGAGACACTGGGCAGGAAAAGGTGCCCTGTGCTCTTTGCTTCACACTGGCAAGGGTTGGCAGTGCAGATGGTGCCCACCTGGCTCAACCTGTGTCAGGCGCTGTCCTGGAAGCCAGGCGAGCCCGATCCCAGACCCATGTCGCCACTGGCTTGCGGCCAGCAGCCCCTCCCAAGACAGCCCCGGCCGCCCACACCTGAGGTAGCTGTTGCTAGGACAGAGTGTGTCAGTCACGACGCTCCTGTGGAGAGCTCATCCTAGGGAACCGAAGGGCTTGCTCCGTTCTTCCCCGCCCCGGCCCGGTCCGGCCTCGGATCTGGAACTCAATTGCCGGCCTGCACTCTGAAGCACAGGAGGGTGCTGGGCTAGGTTTTCAGCCTCCCTGCCGAGGCTCCCTGGATACGGATGGGGTCTCTGCCGAGGTCAGGACAGGGGCTACAGGAAGCCTTACTGTGGGGCACGGAAGGACAAGACTTGGTTGCCTCTCCAAGCCCTCCTCGGCCATCCAGACAGCATTGGTCTCCCTGCTGCATGGCTACATTCATTCAGCCCACACCACCGGGAAAGTTTTAAATTGCAAGACTCGGAAGAGACTTAAGCTGAGCCCTGGAGGGCTGTGGAGAACACTGTTGCTGAAACGGAGGGAGCAGTTGGCTGAGGGCAGGAGCTGGGCAGCTCCAGAGCGCTTGGAGGCAAGGCCAAGGACCAGCCCCCAGCTGGCTCCTTCCCAGCCCGGGTCCCACGGAGAGCAGAATGGGGCACCTCAAGTGGAAGGCACAGCCACTTCCTGGGGTGGGCAAGAGACGGGCACCAGACGGGAGGACCCTCAGAGGTGCAGGATGAAGCCGGCTCCAGAGGCTCTGGTCCCTTCCTTCTGCTGAAACTCGGCACTGGTCATGCCCTTGCTGGTGTTTGGTTTGGTTTGGTTGTTTTATTTTGTTTTGAGACAAGGTCTTGCTATGTAGTCTCGGCTGGCCTCGAACTCACGGTGATCCTCCTGCCTCAGCCACCGAGGTTACAGGTCTGTGCCACCACACCCGGCTTCCCTGCTGCCGCAGTTGTACCGTCTTGGGCTTTGCTCCTGTCCTTCGTCCCTGCGAGGACTGAGTGAGATAGAGCCATCATCAGCCTTGGGGTATAAGCTGCTGAGAGGAGCCTTCGCTGATGTCTCCCTCCATGGGGCGATCAAAGTACTGTGGACTTCGGTTTTAAAACTGTGTTACAGTAAAAGCCACACTGCCAAGAATCCCCCCAGAATCCCACCCCTCACTGTGAACACGCTCAGCTCACCATCTGGCCACTTCCTGTAGCAGCTCTGCAGGCCTCTCCCCTGAGCGTCTTTATGTGATGTGATCAGAAATACAGTGAATCCTGCTGCCGAGCGCCATCCAACAGAAAGGCAGCTCGTGAACACAGCACTGTGTCCTCGTCCACCTGAGTCCCCGGATCTGGCACCGTGTGACTCCCGGCTCCTCCCCAGAGACAAAATGACCATGACAGGGGCACGTTTTGAATCCACTTGAGACACAAGGCAGCCGGGACAGCGCAGCTAAAGACACTCAGGAAAGAGGACCCAGAGCCGCTGCAGGAGGCGGGAGGAGGGGAGGAGGGTGTTGGAAGTGAGGCAGGGGTTCTGAGAGAGGTTTGTGATGATGTGATTTTTGAATTTAGACATTCATTGTAGTTTTCATGTATACCTGTATCTCGTTGACTTTGTAGATCTTTGTAGAAAGTATGCGATTTTTTTTTTTTTTTTTTTTTTTTTTTTTTTTTTTTTTTTTTTTTTTTTTTTTTTTTTTTTTTTTTTTTTTTTTTTTTTTTTTTTTTTTTTTTTTTTTTTTTTTTTTTTTTTTTTTTTTTTTTTTTTTTTTTTTTTTTTTTTTTTTTTTTTTTTTTTTTTTTTTTTTGGTACCAGGGATCAAACTCAAGTATGTAATATTTTTTAAAGAAAGGCAGCATTGCCTCTGGCTTGGTCTCCTCACGCTGCTTCTCTCTTCCAGGGCCCGCTGCGCCTCTCCTTCCAGCAGGACCCTCGGCCGCCACCCCTGCAGCTGGCAGTTTCAGAAGTGTCCAGTGTGGCCAAGTCGGCCCAGGAGAAGGTAAGCAGGCGCTCGCTCGCCTGGCCTTTCCCTCCAGAAGGAAGTAGAGTGAAGCCGGGGCTGGGAGAGTGCGGTTGGTTTCAGTACTCTTAACACTGCGGAACTCTTATGCCATGAAAAAAACAAAAGCCTGGGGGCTGGGGATTTAGCTCAGCGGTTTGGTGGCCTGCCTCACCAGCGCAAGGACCTGAGTTCGATCCCCGGTAGCACAAAAAAAAAAAAACAAACAAAAGCCTGAGCTGTAGTCCCAGCACTGTGGGAGGCAGAGGCAGGAGGAGAGAGGAGTGAGCCCAGGTTGGGTGACTTAGGGACCAGATTCTGATCTCAAAATTCTGCCTCAAAATAAAAATTAAAAGAGCTGGAGCTGGAACTCAGCATAAAGGCCCTGGGCCCTGGGTTCAATCCCCAGTACCAAAATGATAATAATAAATCCTAGCGCATCCTGGGTGAGTTCACAGACAAGGTGCGGTCTGTCCATATAAGGACGGATTATTCAGCCTTAAAAAGGAAATGGGGTCCTCATGCAGGCTACACCCCAGGCGGACCTTGGAATCATGCTGAGCAAGAGAAGCCAGAGGCAAAAAGCCCAACATTACTTATAGCCTGCTCTGCCAGGAGCCGAGCTCTGGGGGCTGCATGCATGGTCGTGCAAGCCTCCTGCTGCGGTCCTGCAGTGTAGAGCCTGCGAGCCCGCCTGCCCGCGTGCCTGCCCGCGTGCCTGCCTGTCTGCGTGATGCAAGTGGGGTCTGCAGCACAAGGGCCGCCATTGGCCCTGGCGGTGTGTTGCGCGCTCCTCTTCCTTTTGCTTACACCTTGGCCGGCCAGGTACACGGATCCTAAGCAAGCTTCTGCCGCAGGTCCAGGGAGGCTTTGCTTTGCTTTGCTTTGCTTTTTGGTACTCTGGGGATCGAACTCAGGACCTTGCACTTGCAAAGCAGGCGGCAGAACTCTGAGCTAAATCCTGGGCCCAGAGAAAGCTTTCCTTAACCCCGCACTGTGGTTGCTCCGTTGTTTGCATGTTGCTGTTACTGTTTCTAACTGGGGCTCGGCATGTTCTCCCAGTATGAAAGCTTGTTTGCTTTGCCGGGTAGTCAGAGAGACGACCAGCACTAGGGACTTCCCCTGGACATATGTCACACCCTTGCCACCCAGAGACCCAGACGTGTGCTCTGCACTGCAGTCAGACGCAGGTGGGAGAAAGGGGCTCTCCGGTGTGGGCTCCCTACATGTACGGAGGGAACAGGTTTTGTTAATGATCTGCAAGACTCCTCTGTCCCCCTCTATCCGTCCCCTTCCTGCCTTTCATTATTTTTGTTTTGCTTGAGACAGGACCTTGCTATGTGGTTTAGGCTGTCCTCAAACTTGCAGCGATCCTCCTGCCTCAGCCGCCCAAGTACCTTCTGCCTTCTGGGATTGGGCTGCTCTTTCTCTATCCTCAGCCTCATGTGTCTTCTTCGGTGTCTGTGTCTCATTTCTGAGTTAACTGAGTGTGGCCCATTTGGCAGGCCGTGAGGCAGGACAGCAGGTGGCCCAGGGGGAGGAGGGAGCGCCGACAGTCCCCGCCGCTGCCCTGTCTGTGTTGCAGGGCTGTGTGTGCTTCTAGTGCACTGAGCGTTTTACTGTGCAGCTGTGCCCCGAGCTCTCTGCAGCCTCAGCGCCCTGGAGAGTCCCGGGTGAGCAATGGCCAATGTAACTACAGCCCAGCGCTCTGGACAAGCTAGGGCTTATTCATCTGCCTTCCAAAGCTGGGTAATTAGCTGTCTCTCCTCTTTCCGGGAGCTCAGGCGGCAGATGCTGCCCATACGGGACCTGTGGTTTACCCTCCCGACTCTGGCTGGGTGAGGAGCCACCAGCCATCAGACCGCAGGGCCGTGGTGCAGGAGGCACTCCCCACCCCACACCCCGGCGAGTGTGGAAGCCACCGCTCCTGCTGGGACCAGAGGGCCCCGTCACAGCCAGCACTGTCCCCTGGGTGGCAGACAGGGACTGACCCTCCCTGCGGCACGGAAGTTTCTCCCAAGTAAGAGGACAGAGTGAGCAGAGCTGGCGTGGCTTGGGGAGAGGGCAGAGGTGGAGACGTAATGATAGACTGGTTTTTAGGGTCTCTTATTGCCAGAAACTCCGCTGTAGAAAGAGGGTGATGGAACTGCATTGCTTTTAGTACAATCACAGTCCTATAATGTGCAAATTAAAAGCTAAAAGCTGCTGGTGTGGCGGCGCACACCGTTTATCCCAGCACCAGAGAGGCTGAGGCAGGAGGATCACCATAGGTTCCAGGCCAGCCTGGACTACAGAGCAAGATCTTGTCTCAGACCACCCCCACCAAAGAAAACTAAAAGCAGTGTAGTATTTGTTGGTCTTTGTTTTCGACAGTGTTGTGGACAAGAGCTAAGGAGAGAAGCAGCCCAAGCTGTGTGAACGGGTAAATAAAACAGGGCAGGTCCAGAAGAGGGGTCTGGACCTGGAACACGTTATGCTCCAAGAAGTGAGGCAACATAGGACTTTTTTTTTTTTTTTTTTTGAGGAGAAAGTATGCTATATAGTTCAGGCTGGTCTTGAACACACTCTGTAGCCCAGGCTGACCTTAAATTTGGGCGGTCCTCCTGCCTCGGCCTCCCGAGTGCTGGGATTACAAGTGTGCACCACCACACTCATTTGGAAACGACAAAAATTATATGATTCTATTTGGACGAGGGTCCTAGTGTCGAGTTCATACAGAGAGTGGAATGGTGGCGCTGGGGGCTGGGGGGCTGGCCAGCGTCAGTGTCTGAAGGGGTCAGAGTTTCCGTTTGGGAAAGGAGATGGATGGTGGAGATCACACAGCAGTGGTGGCGTGGAACGGGTGTGAATAGCAGGTGAGCTTAGCACTACCGGCTGCACACTTAGAAATGGCTAAGATGGCAAATGCCCCATTCTGTATGATTTACCCCAGCAGTGCCGCTGTGACCCAGTTACCAGTTGTTTTCAAGGATAAGGGTTCGAGTTGCTCTCTCCCCTCCCTGCGCAGGGCAGCCTCAAAAGGTGGCAGTGAATCTGCAGGGTCAGCTGAAGATTCTCCAGCCCTTGTGCTTTCAGAACAGTCCCAGTAAGGCGAGAGAGCGAGGAGGGTCCTGTCCCACATTTTCCCGCTGACTCTCATGGTGATAACCAGTTTGTGTGCATTCTGTTCTGTCTGGCAGTATGAGGGATTGGACCCAGGCCCTTCACCCTGAGCTACATCCCCATCCTTTTTTATTTTTTATTTTGAGACTGTGTCTCCCTAAGTCCGTAAGTTGCCCAGGCTGGGCTCAAAATTATGATCCTCCTACCTCAGCCACCCAGAGCGCGGGATTATAGGTGTGCGCCACCGCAGCGGGCTTACACAGTTTTTCTAAAGCTTTTGTTCTTTCACATCATAGGCCCTCTTCAAAATCTGTTTGCTTTTCTACAGCTGAGCCGTGGTTCACCTCCCCGTCAGAACCCTGGCTCTGGGGGCTCGCTCTGAGGGCGCAGGCTCGTACAGCCTCGGTGTCCGCACTGCCTACTAGTTCTGCAGAAAACAGGAGAGGGTTAAAAGTGCATGCTGGTCTCTCGGGCCGTGAGCCGCAGGGAATCGGCTGGGTCCTGCGTCAGCCTGCTTCCCCGGGCTTTTCCTCACAAGTTTCCGCTTTTATTCCTGCCATACAGACTACGCTGCTTTTGTTCTGTTTGTGCCCGTGGTGTTCAGGTTCATCCAGAGCTCCTCAGAGACCGCCCAGGAGATGCTGGTGAGGGCTGGGTTCAGCTGGGCTTCTGCCCGTCGGTGGGCACCGCTGACGGCTCCCAGTCAGAGCAAGCTGGGCACGGGCAGCCCAGTGGGCGGTGGCTGCCCTGTACCTCTCATGAGAGAGCCGCTCGCCCTGTGTTCATCTCCTCGCTGTCCCGGAGGAGAGGGGCTGCGGAAAGAGTAGAAGCGGTGAGGTCTTCCCAGCTTTGGGAAGAGGACGCTTGGACGGTTGGCTGTAGTGCCATTACAGAAACGGCACACGCTCGTTGACAGGTGAGGGCGGCGTAGAAGGTACCACTTCCTGGAAGATGTCTCCCGGCCCTTCCCCTGCAGATGGCTGCTGTGGGTGGTTCTTTGAGACGGAGTCTCCATGTGGTTCGGGCTGGAACTTGGCCTGATTCTCCTGCCTCAGCCTCCCAAGTGCCAGGATCATGGGAGTGCGCCCCCTCATCCAGCAGCGTGTTCCGCTTCTCCCGTCGGACCCCGAGGGCCAGGTCTGCCTTGGGTCCCGTCATTCTGCTTCCTTTGTCTCCCTGCTCTGCGTAAGTCCACTTTTTTTTAAATTGGCTTTTTGAGACAGGGTCTCACTGTGTAGCCCGGGCTGGCCTCAGACTCATGTCTCCTGAGTGCTGGCGTTACAGGTGTGAGCCACCACGCGGGCTTTAATTCTTGAGAAGAAAAAGCAGGCTCAGTGCCTGAAATCAGAAGCACAGACTTTTGCTGTCAGCCCCCACTCTGAAGCTCTGCCCCTGGCCTCAGCGCGCCTCTCTTCTCGGACTTGGCCGGACGTGGGACCGTCAGCGCCGGGGCCGAGAGCCTCAGTCCGCCAAGCACAGGGCTGTGACGCGGTGCTGTCAGACAGGCGGGCTGCGAGTGAGGACCTTCCTTCCGGTCTGCTTTGTGTGTCTGCCAACCTGTGCTCGGTCCAGAGACGCCAGACCCCTCACGGGATCGGGGAAGGGGCTCCGAGCACCCTTGTGAGACACACGCGTGGCTCTCATGTACTGAGTGCTCCGCTCACTGCCCGGCATTGCCCGGTGTGTCACGGCCTGGCCACCCTGACCGGGTCTGGGACAGTGCGGGGCGCGGTTCCCCCGGCCTCCCTGTGGGTTCCGTCCCTCGTCCCCACGTCCTCCTCATTCAGCCGCTCCCAGGACTCTGGGCAGCTACGTCTGGCTTCCCAGGGGTGACGGGGCTGCTCGGAGCAGCTGCGGTGAGGGCAGGGTGTGGGGTGGGCAGGGCTCGGGGCCCTCCC